TGATAACGCTTATCAGCAGCCTTTTGCTGGGCTGCCCTCCGCTCCTTGTTGCATCGCTCCTGGGCAGCCCGAGCCTCCTCCTGCGCGAGCATGGCGGCACGTTTGGCTCGTGCTTCTTCCGCTTTCCGCCGAAGATTCTCTCGGTCGATGCGGCGGCTCTCTGCAGCTCTTTTCTGCCTAGCCGCTTCCAAAGCGGCAGCATCTCTAGCAGCTCGGTCAAAGGTAGCACGTTGGGCTTCGAGCTGCTGTTGGAAGTTCTCCTGGTTCTCCAATCGTCCGAACTGGCGCAGGAAAATTTTCTGCTCTAGATTTTGGGGGATGATGTGTGGAACATGGGGCAATCCATCTCTTAAACCTCCGAGATCGAAACTGTCCTCGTGTTTGAGGGACATGCGACGAACTGGCTTCTTGCGCATGCGAAGACTGGATCCCGAACGATTAAGGCGGATGGTACGAGAGCGCTGGAGGGACTTTTCGAGACGGGCGCAGCGTTGAATGACAGGCATACGTCCGACTCTCTCACCCGGGCGACGATAGCGTTTGCGAGGAGTAGGGGGAGTGTGTGATTGTGGGTGAGGATGAACAAGGGGAGTATCTGCTGCTGGGATAGACGCCAGCGTGATGGGGAGATATTGTCCTAGATAACGACCTAAAACGCGTTCTCGGAGGTAGGGGATGATGCGGAACCTCTCGGCCTTGCGGGTGTTCGTGAGCATCGAGGTGGATGAAATAATATGGATAAATTAAGGAGTGTGGAGGTGGATAAATTAAGGAGTGGGGGTGGTTGTTAATCGAAGGTAGATACTGAGTTGTTGAAGTTGTTGTTAATATTCGATGACTTGCTGGTGCTGGCTTGAGGAGGTGATGTCTTGATGTGGGAAAAAGAACGAACGACCGCGCATTCACGCAACCTTTTATACTTAGCCTACCATCAGGACACACACTGTTCCTCAATTTGCCAACAGGACGAGAATTGTGGCCAGAAAAAAAGGTGGACGACCAATCCATCAACAAGCCTCACTTGAAAATTACTCGAAGAGGCAATTGTTCGGAGGGTATTACAGGTGGAAATAGGTAATGACCTTGCTGTTCGACCATTGTCGGCTTGAAAAGTAAATTTGGAGGAGCGCAAACATCGGGACGGACATGCGTTGAGGCCCAAGCAACAATGATGCGCTTGGCAGCGGCAACTGTTGTATTTTGGGTAGTTAGTTTAATGTAAGCGAGGTAGTAATTCTTATTAGCCACCGCAATGTACTGTTTGTTTGACCGGGAGGGGAAATTGGAAAGGGGAGGAAGATTTAGTAGGCATCCAACGACGACATCAATGCGCTCCACGATAGCTTTGCCGCGGTTTACTTTGACAAAGTGACAAGCTTGAGCATCGGGATGTTAAGGCAGGTCGATAGACTCCCGAATGCCATGACCATGAACACATCACTACTGCCACTTGCCACTCGTGGGCCACGAACGCGCTTCAACAATGCTTACACGCGCCTTGCTAGAAAAGAGTGCGGCGGAGAACAAAGGGTGCAGCCATCAATGGTCACAGCTGGGAACAAAGGCCATCAGGTTGAATGTGGTGTAAACGATGGCAAAGCGCTCAAAGGAATAGACTTAAAAGAGCTCACAGCATGATGAGTAGACATCTCTTCAAGTCCTACTACCCATCCACAGACCAACACTAACTCGCCCTCCAGTATGCCCCCACAAACTCGCTCTCAACTCCAGAGGGAGAAGGAGCAAGCAGCTCAGAGAGCCCTCGAGATGGCCAACGATCCTCTCCCAGCGATGCAGGACGAGCCACAACAATACAATATTCGTCAAACTGGAGGCCTAGTACGAGCTGGTACTATCGTTCAGATTGGACCTTCTGATACAGGCCTTGGTACTCACATACGGTGGATCAGACCAGACCATGCCATTGAGGAGGACATACAACCTATAGATCCTCGCTACACCACGCCTATTCCTCAGACGCCTCCACAACCCATCGCACCTAGGAAGATTCCTAAAGAACCTCGTCTCGGTGGGCCAGGTTTATACGACCACATGGAGGATGCGTTTGTTGTGAGATTGGATATCGACGCGCCTAGGACTGTCGTGGAGCGTGTTCTCGCCGAAGAAGTGAACCGACGCAAGTTGCACAAAGAAGCGACGATACCGTGGGAAGGAGAGCAGATTAGGAACCCACCACAGGATTCAATGGCTTCGGGGGATGTGTTTGGGCCATCTATGCCACCTGTGCAGCGTTTTGTGCCCAGTAATAATGGCATTCTTCGTGACTACCATGGCCGGCCCCTCTGTTCTATCCTACGTTCTCCGATATATGTCCGAGCTCCTTTAGTAGAGCCTCATGGAACGCGCATCCAGCCCGAGAGGAATCCTCACTCTATACCATCCCACCCAGTAAGAGGACTTGGTCCCTATGGAACAGTGCTACTGGGAGACGATGGTCGGCCTCTTGTAGCAGATCTTCATCCCAGCTACTAAAGATTGCTGGACTGGAATTAATGCAATCGCCATATACTTATAAAATACACTCTTTTATGTTAGGAGACGTCTGTCATCAGTGTATAAATCGTTAGCTTCATATCCATGCAACCGTAGTCTGTAATCAAATTGTTATCTCACCCGAGAGACGAATGTAGTTCTAATCGAGCATGAGTTCCGCCTAACATACCGCTTATACGTCAATAAGTTTAGACTCCAAGGGAATTTAAAGCAGGTTCGAAGTTAGAACTAGCGAAAACACAAATGAGGGTTGGAACTGAGTCTCTGAGCGCTAAATGTTGATTGGTTCATCGTCGCTTCGGACTTTGCCATTCACGTTTAAATTGGTGGCCGTCGCCCAGTGACTGATGGCCTCCTATTGAAATGTATGTGCCTACGTACATACTGGCTCCCATGGCATAACATCTATATTCTAATACGTGCACTAATCGCCTCTTTCCTTGGAATTCTACTGAATCTCGGGACATGACAAGCCACGTAGTCAACAGACCCCCCCCCCCCCCTAATATAATAAATTCGGATGCACGCAGCACATTGCGATTTATTTTTTCCTGTCCAAATTCAAAAATGTCTTCTATCGTGCTATCACGACTGACTTGTATCGATACGTCATACTTCTAGGGCCCAGGAAGTCTAGATTGCTGAAGATAGGTTACAATTTGGAACGCCTCACGTAAGCATATATTTTATTCAATCTCAAGTTACTTCAACGCCTATATCTCTTTTCAAACGCCTTTCAGATGTCGTATTACAGAAAATAATCACTCAGAATAAATACCCCTTGTGGTTCAAGCTGATGGTGGCGCCTATTCTTGTATTATAGACTATGAAATCTGGATGGGATTCAGCTGGCGAAATCCGACCCCGAACAAATTATCGACAGCGTGGAGAACTGTCTCCATAGCCTCTCAGGCGTTTCCTACCTTTCGCGTTATGCCATAGAAGCCACTCAACCTCTAAAGATGTTATTTGAACAGTAGAAATATATATCCAAATACATCTTCCCCTTGTGATCACCGAAGACACTGTAGACTACATTTGAAATGTGTCTGAACTGAACAAGGAACATGCTTCTTAGACCCAGTAAAGTTATATTCAGAATCTAATCCTGAATGATATCTGAATGTACTAAATTAGAATGTAATCTCTGAATATATTTTGTGTGTATCTGAACACATTCCGGATCCATTTTGAATTCAGAGCATTGCTCATTGTATATTCGAGATATGTTCCATGAGCATTCTGTGAACACATCAAAGATTAAAATCAAGCATATGCATCTTGAACTCATATTGGACGGGCTCCAAATGTAATCTATAATGTGCTCAAAGATCAAAAAAGGAACACATCTTTAAATTATTTTTTTCAGTGTTCCGAGCGTGTTCTTTGTGTGTTTATTGCCGATGTTATATCATTCTCTGCATTGGATATATTTTATTCATTGGGCATAGATATCAAATTGTAACTCGCAGTGACAAATTGTGGTCGATTCTACTAGATCCTTCGAATCTCAGTAAACAGCTGGCCCCAGCAATAGATTTAACAAATGGCGCATATAATGACTTGATGCCTCTCCGACTTTGAAAATTCGGGCTTGATGAGCATTGCTATCTTTTATGCTTATCCTAGTCGTCTAATAAATTTTCTCGGTTTCATATTCAAATGAAATTTGATTGTAAGAATGTGAATGGATCGCAGATCCTATATCAGCCTTCTTAGAGCATTATCTTCAGAAAGCACCTCCTATGAGAAGGAATGTATGTGATGTATGATTTTCTGCCCCAATCTTAATTACTCAACTATTCTAGGCTTCTACTCAAGATTTAGAATTCGGTCCCGATGTATTTTATAGCTATTTACGCGATATTCGATATCAACTCCGAAAACTATAGAGCCATCAAACGTTTTTCTTGTTACAGCCCTCTATCAATGAAGGTTTATGGGGTTTATGGTTTTCTTTGCTGGGAGTACTCCATCTCTCAAATACTTGGGTATGTAGAGGGGGTTTATGGTATAACCTTCCCAAATTCGCTCAACTGTAAAGTAAATTTGTGTTTATAAACTATATTGTTTCGCAAGCGCTTGATGCTTGTATTTGTGTCTACCTTTGAGCCTTTCGTTAGTTTCATCTATTATTTATATGTATGTGCTTCAGTTGGATCAGCCTCTCTGAATATATAATAAAATATTAAGGATGTGCCTATTCTTCTGCTGATTACATATTTATCACAGGTGGGCAAAAGTGAAATGATTTCTAATTCAACATACTAGTTCTCTAGATCCCCGCGCTGATGGAGATTTTTTATACGCAATTTAAAAACATACATTTAAAATTACAACAAGGATGATGCAGAGGTAAGAAGGTTAAGCTACTATGCTTTTATCAGGAAACGGGCTAAAGTAAACGAGTAAAAACTTGTGGGGGAGGTTGTAGATCGCAGAGGCAAACATGTACCTGAAATTTCAATGGAAAAGGAAGTAAAAGATGGTTCAGCCCGGGGTCGAACCGGGGACCTTCTGTGTTAAGAACAACATGTTGTGAGACAGAAATCATAACCACTAGACCACTGAACCGCTGGAAGACATTCATTTTGACCATACACGTCATATAAGACTAGTTTAAACTATGTGTGGGTAAGAATTTATAATCAGACTACTGAGACTTACATGATTGGTGTCTAAAGAGGGTGGTTTTGGTATGTATATTGCTACATGTCACGAATAGTACAGAAAATCGTATGGTGTGTGGAAATGTTAAATTTAATGTTAAACTATTTCCCTCGAACTCGTGTGAAATATTTGTGAAATATAGAGTTAAACACAAGTGGCGAAACTTTATCACGTTTTGGTTATTCTATTATATGACTAGAGTGTTAGCAGGAACTATTTATAGTCCCTGAAAGGGTGGGTCCAAGGTAGGTCATAACATGGATAAATAAAGGTCCCTAGTGTTCGAGTTGAGTTGACGCCTGCCCTCCTTCGTCACCCCAACTACCTCCAGATAGTAGAACAGGAGTGAAGTTAGTTTCTCCATTCTTTGTTTGACCTAATGAGCTGATTATTGATGCTGATAGGCATCTTACTGCTCGGACTCTCATAATGCCACATTCAGCGAATATTGCTTACGAAGTCGCCCTACCACCTGAGATTTGGCTCCATATTGCTCAGTTTCTTCCGCGAGCCAGTCATTTCCGGTTATATGGCCTCAACCGCATGTTCTATGAGCTTTATATGGATGAGAAATACAAGGCAATTACATTTGGTGCAATCGACAAAGGCTTTCTACATGATCTTGACTCCCTGAAGTACGTCTATTTCTGTCACTACCACTGCTATTAACGCCCCATGACTTCTCTCTGAAAGGTCAAAACTAATCAAATCTTCTCAGGAATAAAAATATATCTGAACGTGTTCGATCTTTTAGCATAATTCCTGACTTTATTGAGGAACAGTTTCTGGATGAACAGGACCAACCATCTATGTTCGAAAGCGGAACGAGCAAGGTCCCTTTAGGCCTCAAACTCAAAAAAATTGCTAAAAATGTACTTCATAAACCGAGAAGCAGCAAGAAATCAGGACCAGAATATCACCGATCACTTATATCATATCTGCGTACTAGTAGCGAGACGATCCGAAAGCTTTCTCTCGTCATACCAAATCTTACAGGTATTGAGCATTACACTATTCATTGGACATGTGCAACAGTACTCCACGCATCATCGTATCTTGGTATAGCTTGGGCTACATTTGGGAATCTTCTGTCGCTGGAGCTCCAGGTGTCGTTAAAGAGATTAGCCGATGTTCTTCCCATTTCTACCATCCAGCTCCCAAACCTCTCAACACTGACGATAAGACTAGTACCTCCTTCTATCTGGGCCCCCGATATTGAGCAACATACGACAGTCAATGAGCGGTCTATAGCTAAACTGGAAATTTTCATCAACAGCTTGCATACTTCTCTGAAAGAATTTAACTTCCATGCATTTACGAAGGCTAGCTTTGACTCCATTTTCTTCGATAGTCTTCAACTGGATCGTCTCACTACCTTTCGTCTTGACACTTGCCTCAATAACTATAGTATTCTCCCTGACACTATCTCAACGCCAATAGAGTTTATCAATCACCATTCCAAAACTATTCGTCATTTGACTCTCTGGTCCACTACGGATTACCCGATCTGCAGGTTCCAAATCTCGAGCCTTCAAGCGGTATCTTTGGTATCCTTCAGCACCAGTGTCCAAATCTTATTTAATTCTTGGGACGAATCATCTATATTCCTTCGACGAACAGCACAGTCATTGCTTATTTTGTCTATATCCCAAGCTCTATACCCAGAACAATTTGGCAAATTGCTGAATGCTGTTGCACACACGCCCGAGCATAGCAATGGAATAATGGATTTATCGATTGAAATACTCGACTTTTCCATGGACGTTATTGAGATTTTGTCAACGAAAATGTTTCGACTTCGCCGCCTTAACCTTCACATCCACTATGTGCAAGTAGAGGGTACCGATTTTCTCAAACCTGGCGAATTCTTTCCATTCAAATCAGCAAAGGTATACACACATTTATGTTTTTGGACTTCATCTAATAGCGCGTTAGGGGAGTCGGACGGACATTTATTCATTTCAAGGAAGTTCCGGTGAGAAAAAATACGAGATAAAACTTCAAGATATCGCCGTTACTCGGAGATCATGCTGTGGTACATTATACCTCTGGGGGTTAATGGAGTTCATCGCACAAAGTATTCCATCAGTTCACAGCTTTGTCGGGAGGGGTAATATGGAGATTCCAGACCCTTCGAACGTGAAACCAAAGACGGGTGGTATGGATGTCGGTTGTTCGTTTGGGACGAGCTGATTTTCATGGACAGAAGTAGCGAGGACAGGGTAATAGTCAGGACACCATTGGTGTTATATCTCGAAAGTATATCTTGTTTAAAGCGGTCGGCTAGATTCAATCACCGGTAGAGTGAATGCTATGACTTCAAGATACTGTTGTACATTCTTTCGAGATAAACTAGGCAATGCCAGTTTGAAGTATCGCAGCTTCGAGGTCGAAGGCGAATCGTTCTCGAGATTTGCATGAAAGCAGGCCTGCAAGGACGTTGGCTTCACGCTTAGGTGTTAGAAAGCTGAAATGGCTTACTGCTTGCGACTCACGAATTCGATAGCTATCGGTTTCTTCGGTGTATAGCTCGACTCTCCAGAATTTGATGTAAAGCCATTCCAGTGACGCAAACTTGATAGGCAATTAGCTAAAAAAGATGACTATCCAGAATGGGAAAATCGATATGTAGTGATTTAAGTTGTTATTCTCGAGATAATAGTCTCAGTATGGTTTCATAATCGTAGTCCTTAGAAACTAAGGAAGCATCATATTCAATTGAAAGCATGGTTATGGCGTCGTCAGCGGGGAGAATGATAGATGAGTGTAGATGGTTTAGAATGTCGCTGCTGAAATGGAAATCTAGGTGTTGTGTTGAAAAAAGCTTGATGTTTAAGACCTCCACATTTGGTAATCAAATGGAGAAGAAATGAGTTCAAGAATACGACGGAGAGATAGCTCACAGATCGTAAGGTGGCCAGACTTTCGACGAGCAGTGGAATTATCATATTGAAGTCCCTACGATCAGTGTCGAATTCGATGCTGAAGTATACCGCCGATTTTAAGTCTGGGAGGGTATATGTAATTAGACCGAGAAGAACGCCATACGAGGTAGACAGATGTCTGCGAGAACTCCTGATGATAGGTAAGATTCTTCACTCATGTTCAATAGATGTTGCTCGCGCGCCTGGATATCAAGGATAGTCACGCTCCTCTTCCTGAACCTTCGCTTCTTTGATGAAGCGCGGAGTAATGTAAAACGATCTGACATAGTTTGCAATGAACGAGATTAGTCACTAAGCCGATTAAATGAGCCTCCGAATGTGTTTAGACTAAAACATACTTCAATCATACAAAACTCCTGACAAACCTTTTGTCTTTCGAAGTCGAGAACCGTAAAGAGTTATATCTTGAAGGCATCGCAACAAGAATGAAGGGACTGTTGATAGCAAAGAGATTCTTTAGACGGCCTGGCACTGCCTGCAGGGATAATATACAATGCAATCTGAGGCTAGACATCATTTGGGAGTTTTGTCATAGTATGGACGTTAATGATAGTTTGCTAGATAATTGAAGGGCAAGCAGCTATATCATGCAGCTGATATACTTGCTGATCAGTGTTTTGTATGGGCACTCGCAAATTGCAAATTCCAGCGGCACGAAAAGGTTCTAGTTTGAAGTGTCTGACAGTCATCTGACACGGAAACGGTCCTAATGATCAAAAGCACTGGAACCCAATAATCTGGCAGGTATAAATATGAACCATGATTGTCCAGAATAATTAAGATGTCCCTTTTAAGAATCAATTGTGAATATCTTAACAAGTTAGTGGGAGGCTAAATAGAGCTTGACTTCAACGATCAAATTCACATGGTCGTCGGACCTTCGAAATTTAGATTCCGCCACAAATGTCCTCATCAATAGGAATAAGTGCATTCGACCGTCTCCACATACACACATAGGGCTGAGTATGTCACCGTCCTATACCATCGATAAGGGACCACCGTATTGACAATAACTCTACCATAATGTATCCCGACTCTATCGAAGACCACAGATGTTGAAGAACCTGTCTCGTGGATTGAAGAGCAATACGGATCTCTTGTATGGGAAGTCGAACACCTGCACCGAAACCATTATAAACAGAGAAAAAGCCAGATTCGTAGAAAACTCACTGTATGGACATGGAAGCCAGACTTCCAGCCAACTTTCACCATGGCTTCATTCGATTGCTTAGGTTCCCCAACGACGCGCATACACCGCGGGTCGGCAATGAACATGTAGTGGGCGATCGATCGAACCCACATTTCCGCTGAACAAACTTTATGAGAACTATCCCCACAATGGAAGCAGTGGAATGACTCACCTCGGCCGCCTCCAAGAAACTTCTCTTCACCGACAAGGACATGCAGCCCTCTCTCCCAATCCTCAGGCTTTACGTCGGAAGGATAATGCTGCGCCACATGGTTCTCCTTGATATACACTAACTCTGCATATCCCATTAACTCCCCATCCCAGCTCATCATGATCGGCAAAACGCTCGGATCCTTCAACAGACCTTCGACATAATTTCTATGCGTCTCCAGGCTTCCTCGTTCGCTCCAGGCTGAGTTCACTCGCGCATCGTTATGCCACTTGTGGAAAGCAGCCATATGACGAGAAATGCCACCCCCACTAATTTTTGTGCCGTCCGTTTCTCCATCAAGGTCGAAGTAGGCTAGCTCAAGAGACTGGCCGATCTCCGAGCAGTACCTGCGATAAAGCATTTGCCCAGGGAGAGGCTTAGGCGGCCTCAGGGGATGCGAGATGATGACCATCTCGTTCTTAGTGAACGAAGGGATCGTGGGGAACATCTGGGTAGGTGAGAGGAGCCAGCTACGGGTATGATATCCTGTTGTTCCAGCCCCCTGCCAGAAGGCTGCTCTGGAAAGGAAAGTAGTTGCACCCGCATTGACGGTATTCTG